CCCGCCGCAGCCTGTCCGAGCCCCTGGGGCCGGCCCGGCCCGAGTGACCCTGCGATCCGGGGTCCCAGCTGAGACCCACCTCCTCTGGGATCTGTAAGAAGGAAAAGCAAGGCGAGTCGGGGCCCGCGGTGGTGGCGGCCACCCTTCAGAGCCCCGGCCGCACCTCCTTCGCTTTTCTTCCCATCCACCCCCCCAACACCCTCGTTAAGCCCCGGCTTGTCTCTGACCCCTGCTGGACCCCCCTCCTGTCTGTGCCCTCAAGGACCTCCTCTGTCTCTAACCCCCACCCCCTGGGCCTTCCCAGCCCCTCCGTGGCTCCCTGTTCCCCGCTGCTCCAGCCAGGACCCCCCGGGGTCCCACCTGGAACACGTGGAAGCCCACGGTGAGGTAAGTGAGGCCCTGGGCCCTCAGGCGCCGCCGGTTGCGCTGGATGAGTGACAGAAGGACAGTGCACTTGGGGATGCGCCCCCCCCTCGCAGGGCCCCACGCTCCTGCTGCCCCCCAGCCCCCCCAGGGCCCCTCCTCATCCTCCTCCTCCTCCTCAGGCTCCAGCAGCGTCAGCCGGAACTGGGGGTTGGTCCAGAAAGTTTCTAGCAGAGAAGAAATGGGGTTACCCTGCCTGCCACAGCTCCCCCCCCCCCCGCCAGCGCTTGCCCCTCGGGGCGCCCTCCAGGCCTCACCAGTACCAGGCTGGCTCCCGCCAGAGTTGAAGCCACGCACCCAGCGGCCTTGGAAGGTGTGGATGTGCCAGCCGCCTCCAGCCGGGCTGGGGCCCAGCACCTCAGGGCTCAGCGAGCAGATCTGGACGGTGTTGAAGTGGCGGAGGAAGTCCTTCAGCTCCATCCTGTGCAGGGGCCAGTGGTCAGAGCCTCCCCAGGGCCCCAGTCTCCCAAAGATCTCAGGACCCCCGGATGGCCTCCAAATCACAAGCCCCACCAAATTCCTTAAACATCGCCAAGTGCCCCTCAGTCCACCAAACAGTGCCGCGTCTCCGGAAATGACCCCCAGATTGCGGAGCCCTCCAGCCCCCCAGATTTCTCCAAGTCCCCAGAAATGCCCAAGTAGCCGGGATCCATGCACCCCCCCCACATACTGTCACATTGCCTTCAGCCCCCAAATATCAAGGCCTTCAGACTTTCAGTTGTCAACAAGTATCCTTCAGGCCCTCAGTATTACCAAATCTGCAGGAAATGCCCCAGATGTCACCAGGCCTCCCACAATTGTCCTAAATATTACCCATTACCCACCCCCCTTCAACCCGCCAAAGATTACTGTGCCTCCCAGTTCCCCTAATATTGCTAATTCTTCCTTGACTCCCCCAAATAGAATGCAACCCCAAAGTTACCACCCCAGGGACAGTTTCTTGCTATGAACTTGTCCCCTGTCCCTTCAGGCAGGCCTTACCCCCTCCCTGCACCCCTTTGGCTTGGCACCAGCTCAGAGGCAGGGCTGGGACCCTGGGCTACTCACCAGAACTCGCCATCCTCCTTTTTCACCAGCAGGGCATCCCGCCACTCTTTAGGGAGGGCATCCCAGCGCGGGCAGCTAGGGAGACCGGGGTGTGAGGGCTGGGCAGGTGGGTCCAAGGCCCCCACCTCCCCCAGATCCACCCCACCTGTCGCTCCAGGCCCCGGTCCACTCCACACGGCCCCATGGGTTCCGAAGCCTCAGCAGCCGCACCTTGGTGAAGCCCAGGGTCACCTGCGGGCGGCATGGTCAGTGGGGCGGGGGGCGCCGCGACACCCCTGCAGCCCACTCATGGGGGATACCCACCTTGTACGTGCCCGTGACTGAGTACGCATGTCCCTTCACCAGCCCGTCTTCTGTGCGGTACTCGCCCCGATCACTCTGGGCAGAGGACAGGGGACGGTGAGGCCACAGTGGGGGTCGAGCAGGTGGCTGCTCCTCTCTGCCCCTCACCCCCCACCCTGTGCCCATGAAGGGAATGCCTGCCCAGGAGTGAAGCTAACCCGGAACTAGGAATAGGAAACCACATTCTAGGGGCGCCTGGGTGGCTCAGTCGTTGGGCGTCTGCCTTCAGCTCAGGTCATGATCCCAGGACCCTGGGATCAAGCCCCGCATCGGGCTCCCTGCTCTGCGGGAAGCCTGCTTCTCCCTCTCCCACTCCTCCTGCTTGTGTTCCCTCGCTCCTGTCTCTCTCTCTGTCAAATAAATAAATAAAATCCTTAAAAAAAAAAAAGAAAAGAAAAGAAAAAGAAAACCACATTCTCCACATCCACTAAGCACCTGGATTCAGCTGTGCCTGAAGCTTGCATAGTTATGAAAGCAAATAAATTGCCTTTTGACTTGCTCGAGTTTGCTGGGTGAGTGAACACAGACAGGAGGATGCAGGCCGCCTCCCCGCTCCAGCCCCAACTGTGCTCTGGCCCTGGTGGGGGGTCTCCATGCCAGTCGGACTCTCTCACCAGGGCGGTGGCGCCCACGAGGGACTCCTTGGCCAGTGCATGGCGCACGGCAGAGAAGAGGCCTGGGAGGTCTTGCCTCAGGTAGAGCACCTCGCCCACGCCACCCGTGAAGTCCACGAAAGCCTCATTCATGTGGCCGCCTCTCATCACCTCATAGGAGCTGTGGAGCCTGTGGGAGCAGGGGTGCGGTGGGCATGTCTGAGGCATGGACGAGCGTCTCACACACACCTCTGGGACCTGGGACCTCGGTCCCCGGCTGTGGGGGGGCCCAGGGACGATCCCTGACATTTGTAGACTGACGTGGGCTGGGGTTCACTCTGGAAGCCCTTGGAAATCGGGCCTGTGGTCCCTGGGCCACTAGGACTGTGGCCTTCGGGGGTGGGGGGGGCGGTCATCGGAGAGGCTTGGTCAGAATTCTGGGCATCCCCAGGGCTAGGTCTGAAACAGAGTCTCCGGGAGACGTCTGCTCTGGGGGTGATCTCTGTGGGGCTTGTCAGGGATTTCAGAGCCACAGGATGGAGAAAAGCAAAGATCGAGGGCTCCCGGGATTACACTCAATATTTCGGAGGTGCGGTGCGCCTGGGTGGCTCAGTCGTCACGCGTCTGCCTTCGGCTCAGATCATGGTCCCAGGGTCCTGGGATCAAGCCCCGCATCGGGCTCCCCGCTCCTCCCCACCACCACTTGTGCTCTCTCTCAAATAAATAAAAATCTTCAGAAATTTGGGAGGCGCGTTAGGTTTCTCAATGGATCAGGAGAGATCTTCTGAGATTACAGGTTCCCCCAGGGGATAAATCTCAGATTTAGTGGCTCCGGGGCCTGAGAGAGGACATTTCAGGCCCCTTAGGGATTGTGAGTGTTGGTGGGTCTCTAAGAATGTTTTGTGTGAAATGTCAGTAGAGGGAGGTATCTGTGATTCGGAGGGAGGCCCTCAGGGGTTGGTGTGACATTAGGGTCCTGGGCGCCGTGACTTGGTTTGGGACCCTTGGCAGGGTGTCTAGAGGATCCCAGAAGCTGGGGGTCTCTGGGGTTCCCTTGCTGGCTGGTGGGGGGGTGCCGGGGTCCTTACTTGGCATAGGCCTTCTCCAGGAGCGGGGCCCAGAACTCGTTCCGCTGACGCGAGCGCACGAACATCAGCTTCCCCTCACGCACGGGCAGCCTGTCGTCCACCACGACGTCCACCCAGTGGCCAAACTGCCAGAGCTGGTGGGAGGAGGCCAGGGCCCAGGCTTGGCTTCCAACCCCCAACCGTGCCTGGACCCCATCCTCTGACCCCCCAGCCCTGCGTACCAGTCCGAGAATTACAGCCCCAAGGCGACCGTGTCAACTATGAGATCCATGGCACCATGAGGGAAACTGAGGCACAAACCGAGGGAACTGAGTTTTACCTGGAAGTGGAAGACACCCGCGTAGCCATCTTGGAAACTCTGTCCGGGGGGGACCACCCGGCACAGGAGTCGGGGATACAGAGTGAGGGAGGCAGCGGCCGCAAGAAACCAGCAGTTCCCTGGGAGGAAAGGCGAGGACGGGGTGAGGATGGAAAGGGGGAGACTGAGGTGTAGGGAGAGGGGAGACTGCGGGGCGGACCCAGGGGCCGAGCTGCAGGGTCCCAGCCACAGCCTGCCAGATCTGGGAGCCCAGGAGTTCGGTGGTCTTACCTAGGCGCCCCTGACACACGTCTGTTCGGCTCATGTCCTCACAGATGAACTGGGGCTCAGCGCAAAACTCCTAGGGGGCACGGGGGATTCCAGGCCTCAGCCAGGAAAGGGAGGGAAGGAGCGACTGAGACATCCGATGCCTGGGTCCCCGCCTGCCCTCACTGCTCTAGAGTAATGAGCGCCTCCAACCCCGGGGGAGGCTTGTAAAGCCTGTGGGCAGGCATCTGGGCCTCCCCAGACCCGGCAGTCGGAACTGCCAGCCCCTCTGCCCTCAGACCGAGGAGCCCAGCCCCCCCCCCAGCCCCCTCCGCTCTATTACATGGGGTCTCCTCCATTCCACCCCTTTCGCCTTCTCGGAGTTCGGCCCCAGCTCGTCATAGCCAAGGGCATCAGGGCCAGCAGGGAAGTAGGGGTCTTGGAACAGGATCCCCTCATCCAGGCAGGCTGTTCGGATGGCCTCGTATCTCTGGCCCCGAAAGGGCTTCGGGCCTCCGGTCCCAGGCCCTGCCTCTTCTCCCACCAGCTGGATGGTGACCCGCCTGCTACCACACGCCATCGGGACACTCTGGGCTCACGGGCTGGCCCCCGGCTCTTCAACCTCCTGGTTCACGGGGGTGGAGCTTCCCCTCCATCTGAGCCCCGATGGGGGCCTTTAGGCCGCGAGGAGCCTTCCCTTGTTAATACTAATTGATGGTTTGGGGTGCCACGGGACAAGGGACGCCTTCTCGGTGGTTTCCTCCCCAGGGCGTGGGGCCTTCAGTTGTGGCCGGGGTAGCAGCTTAATGGGCTTGGCCAACATCAGCATAGAAGGTGGGCAGAGCTGAGGAGGACTGGCTGCCCCCGTGAGGACGCCTGGAAGCAGGTCAGTGTGGGGGTGTGTTTCTGCCATCTTGCCCCTGCCCCTCCCTCTGTCGGGCTTGGGGGTGCTGCGGGGTGGGGAGGGCGGCACATTTACCCTGTGTCTCCATCTCTCCTTGTCTCTCCGTCTGCCAGTTTCTCTCTTTCCCATCGTGTCTCTCTTCCGGTCTCGGCCTCACTGTCTCTGTCTCTGTCCATCTCTCTTGTCTCCTTTGGCCTTCCTCGGGTGCGTTTTGGGTTTTGTCGCTCTATGTCTCTCTCTCTCCATCCCTCTCTCTGTAGCTCTTTCTGCGTGGCTGTCTCGCCCTGCACCTTCTGTCTAATGCATGCCTCCCTGTCCGTCCCCCTGCACCCTTTTCTGGGTGCCCTGTAGCTACTCAGGCCCCCACACCAGTCCCCCGGGGCCCGTCTGGCTCACTCCTCCTGAGCCGCCAGGACCCTGTCTCCCCCTTCCCCAACAAGGCAGACCTCAGCCTGCTGACTGGGCAGGGTCCACTCTGCACCTACCTGCCCTGCGTTGGGAGCCGGGCCCACCAGTGACCGTGACCCCCGACCCTACCCCCACGCAGCTCAGGGCCCAAGGGAGCAGTGTTTCCCCCAGAGGAAGTGGGAGCCATCGGAAGAAATGATAGAAGTCGGTTCTGAGAGGCCAGAAACTCACCAGTTTGGGTCCCAGGAGACTTCCATCCTTGGCGGGGGGGGGTTCCCTGCACCAGAACCTTGTCACCTCTGTGGCAAGAGATGTCCTTTAGTCCTCTGGCATCCTTCCCTCCAAATGGACCAAGAGATATTGTCTGAGCCCCCGGCTGTGTGGCCACCAAAAAGGGGTTATAAAACAAGCTGCCCATTTACTCTGGGCCTCCCCTGCCTCCTCACCTAAGCCGCAAAGGATAGAGTGTTCCTGCTTCACCAAGTAAGGCTGCGCCTGAGCCATTTAAAAAACTATCTCCCTAAAACACTAGCATGAGGGGCCCCTGGGTGGCTCAGTCAGCTGAGCGGCAGACTTGATTTCAGCTCAGGAGGTGATCTCGGGGTCATGGGACCGAGCCCCACATTGGGCTCCAGGCCCAGCAGGGAGTCTACTTCTCTCCGTCTCCTGCTCCCCTCCGCTCTTGCGCACTCTCTCTCAAATAAATAAATCTTAAAATAAAAACACTATTATGAAAATGAAAAACCCCACTCCTGGGGACAGCAGATGTTACACAGATAATAAACAGCAAATGCTTGCTATGTACGGGGCACTTTGCACCAGGCACCATGCTTGGTGCTTCACAAATATCTCATTTTCCTGTGAACTTTGAGAGGGACCTCAGTCAGCTCTAGCTGCTGTAGGAAGTACCATGGATGGAGGCAGACGTTTCCATCTGATGGAGCCGGAGAGTTCCAGATCCCGGCGTCAGCGAGGTTAGGTTCCGGAGAGAGCTCGCTTCCAGGCGGGCCAGTGGCCACCTTCCTGCTGTGTCTTCTGGTCGGGGTGCAGGAGAGAGGGAGAGGGAGAGGGAGAGGG